CGGCGCCGGCGCCGGCGCCAGTTCCCGAAGATCCGGCACCGGTGGATCCCGAGGCGCCAGTGCCCGAGCCAGCCTCGACGCCCGAGTCGGCGCCAGCGCCGCCAGTGGCACCGGTGTCCGCGCCACCATCGGCACCAGTCGCGGCTCCAGTGTCGGCACCGGCGTCAGCACCCGTACTAGCGCCGGCGCCAGCGCCGGAAGCACCAGTGGCGCCAGTCGCGGCGGCGCCGGAGGCACCCGTCGGAGTCGGCGTGTACGGCGCCATGGTGGTGCGGTCAGAGAAGATGGGCTCCTGGATGCCGGCGAGGCCGAGCTGAGCAACGACTGCGGTTAGCTATTGTCCGGGTTCGCTCTTGGATCCTCTCTTGGCAAGGTGGGGCGGTGTGTTGCGCTATTTCTGGCCCTATCCCTTTCTCTTGCCTTGCCACCACAGCCCAACGGGGGTTTGCTGTGACTCACGAAGAACTGCGACGTATTAGCTGTGTCTCATGGTTCTTCGGTCGAACTGAACGGGCTCACCGAAAAGAGTGTGTTTAAGCATTATGAGTGAGCGTGGAGGTGGTAAGGGTGGTGCTGAGATCAACTGAGCGGTGTGAGATGCGGAGGACGATGATACGGCCGTTCAAGATGTACTTGGCGGTAGGGCGGCAAGCGCAGTCGCCCGTAGCAAGTTCCAACAGTCTACAACAGGGAGGTGCGCCGCTCGGATCGCGTGCATGCAGTCCGTGTCCGACCGGATGGCTCGTAGGTTTGGACAATAACTACATCGAGCGCTCGGCGCGCCAGCCTGTGGCCGTCCTGTGGGCGTTCTGCGGTGACCGGTGGGCACTTGCGGCGCGCAGGCGTTCGCCCAAACTACGCGTGGGCTGCTATATCCCTCATGGTCCGGAGCCCTCCCTCTCAGCGGCAATCTACCCGATGGGCTCGGAAGTCAATGCGGCCACGAGGTGGCGTCGGAGAACCTGTTGAGCTTGAAGTTACAGCATCGTCTCATCGGAGCCTTGCAGTTCTCCACCATCAGTACTGCACTTTGCAGAGGACATGATGTAGACTTGCCGTCTCGACGTCAGTGGCCGAAACCGCCGAGCTTCGAGCTAGGCGTCAAGCTAGTCGCGGACAGGCAGTCGATAGGGCCGTCAACGGGCACAGACTTACGACCTGCACAGGGTCCGACTAAACGCTACATTCAGGAATTTAGAGGCTGAAAGCTTCAGTCCGCTAGATTAATAGATAAGAGCAGCGGCAATACCAACGACGAGTGCACTGAGAGCAACCGAGATCTGGCCAGCGGACGACTTGCCAGAGGTTGACGGCTTGGCCGAGCCCGAGCCGCTGGGCACGCCGCCCGCTTGGTGGCTGGTCGCTGAGGTGGGCGCGCCGCCAGGGCTCGATGAGGCCGACGTGGGGCTGGGCTGGCCACCGGGGCTCGACGTAGCCGAGGTCGCGCTATGCGAGGGCTTGCCACTCGACTCCTTGCTGCTGCTGGCGGAGGGGGCGGCGCCGCTGCCAGACGGGGCGGAGGTGGCCGACGCTTCGTCATTGTCGGATGACTCAGTGTTCGCAGCACCGGGGCCAGGGCCGACGGTGCTGGATGGCGAGTCGGTTTCCTCGGCATCACCTCCGTCCCCAGACACGAAGGAAACACTGGGCCCCGAAGGGCTGCTGCCGTCTCCGAGATTGCCGCCACTGGGCACCACGGGCTGGATGGAGACCTCTTGCGCGACAATGGCGACTGATGTCAGTGCAATCCACGGACACACCCACGGAGCAGGGGCGTGGCTATGACGAGTGACTTGAGCATGGTGAGTGGGAAGATAGCGGGCGTGGGGGCGCTACATGCATGGGATGGATGCTTGTTGATATAGAGTAAGAGGGCTCGCGAGATATAGGTTACCGAGATGACGACTGCGCGAGGTGCATTGCGCAGCAAGGTGCACGTGACTCGGTCACAACAATCAACAACAATCCCAAAGCGGTGCCTTGCGCAATGGCGGGGCAAAGTTGCGTTTGCCCGCTCATTCCAGTATTCTGAGCTGCGACTGCGCACCACCCGCGCTAACATGATAAGAACAGAGCGCCAACGGACCCGCAGTGGCAACATACTCCCAGTGTATCCCAGTGAAAGAGCCACCGCTCCCTTCAGACATTCCACCAAGGTTAGGTCGCCCCACGTCCGGGCTAGCTCAAAAGAGCCCCACTGCAAGCACACTAGCGCAGAGCACCACAACTGCCGAAGGAAGTCTGCGGCCGGCGTTCGACCCGGATGCTGCTGCTGGAGAAGGGGCATTCTGCTCGTTTGACGTTGCGCTTGGGGCAGCAACGTTTTCCGGTTGAGCTACAGGCGAGCCTGAAGTACCTGCGCCGGCAACCCCAGATGGGACGAAACCCGCCAACCCTGATCCGGCCGAGGACCCATTGAGACCATCAGTAGAGGCTACGCCACCTGAGCTGAGAAGCTCAGCGCATGCGCTCTTCATGATATCAATCGAATCCTGCGACTGGCCGAGGCAGGCGTAGCACGTGTCGAAGGTGTTCGCGACCTCGAGTCAGCGTCGCCGGCAGGCATCACTCACAGGGCAGACACTTATCAGACACTCGTTCGACTTGACCTCACGCATGCAAGCGCTGCTGTGTCTGATCCGATTGAACACATCGTTACACTCCTTTCGGCACTCGAGGCCCGAAGATCCGGCACCTCCAGCGACGCCACCGCTGCCAGCGGCACTTGTTGCGGTCGCTGTTGAGTTTTCTCCTGCAGTCAATCTCGCAGCGCTGCCACGCCCCGCGCACTTCTGCCTGAGGTTGCCAATCTTGTCATCGTTGGCCCCAACGCAGCGATAACACTCCTCGAACTTGTCAATCTGTGGATTAGTGCTAATCACCATACAGAACTGGCCAACTCACAGCACACAACTTGTCGAGGCATTCCAAATTCTCTCCGGTCCGATCCTTACAAACGGGACCGCCCAGTACTCTGATAACCTCATCGCACTCAGCGTCGCAGTTGCCGCCTCGCATGTTTGACCCGCCGATGTCTAAGCCGCCAGACGACGGCGCAACCGTACCAGACCCGGTTGGGGTGGGCGTTGTACTGGCTCCGGCGCCGAGACCGGAAGCATCGGCCAGCGCGCTGGAAAGGGCGGAGACGCCAGCGGCATTGCTTCCGCTCGCGCTCGGTGCCGTCCCATTCCCCTCCCCTCCCGTCTCGAGCTGGTCAAGCAGGTCGCCGCCGCCGTTCGCGCAAAACATCTTTGCGGACGCAATCAACTCGGCCGGTATGCCTAGGCAACCCCAGCATGCGTCAAACGTGTCTGATGTCTCTCGTTAGCGATCGTGTTGGCTCCATGGGGATAGATGAGGGGGGGGGGCCACAGGGTGATGGGGCAGGGGGTTAATCACTCACAGTGCACACAGCGTTCATACAGGCGGGGCTCTGGATATTCGTCTTGCACGCGTCCGTACTTTGCGCAAACTTTGAGAAGTCGCCGCAGGCGTCGATGCATCTCAATGGGTTCGCTGGTGCTGCAGACGCCCCTGCAGCGGACTGAGCGTGCACCACAGCTGCGCGTCAGGCAAATTGCCATTCTCACTCACTGAGTGCGGCTGATGTGAGCCCCGGAACATTGTGGCAAACTCACAAAGGACGACAATTGTTCTCAGCATGGCCTGATCTTAGTGTGGAGATTGTTTGATCAAGAACAGTATTCAGCCAACAGCAATCTAGGACACTTGTCCCTAGAAGACAGCAGAATGACTCGACTGAACTACGCGACGGGTGTTGGCCGCTGCTGTCTCGTGGTCAGTCAGGCGATCGGAAAAAGAGGTGCCTAGCCCCGCTTCTTGTCGTCGGCGGGGCAGAGAGAGCCAGTGGAGCACCGGCACGCCTGGATCGTCTGCCCAGCAGACCTCCCAGTACGGAGACGACCCTGGGAGGTGCGTACGAGGTGTTCCTGGAGCAAACTCTGAAATGTTGTAAAATGACCGTGGATTGATCTCCAGATGCGGAGTCGGATCCGAGATCGATGCCGATAGCGAGATCGGAAGCGAGTCCTCGCACAGCTGGAAGTAATGTCCGGTGGGCCTCCGGTCCGTAGGACAGCATTGCGAATGTATATCATTATTCTGTAGGTAGCCAGTTGCCAAACCATGAGATGCACACTTTGGGCTCGAACGAGCGAGCCCTGCATGCACAACCTTCGGCACGGTTTGGAGGCGGTGTATCACGGTTTACTCCTCCAGCTCGTCTCGCTTCCTACCTATAATATCACCCGCACGTCACTCTCTGCTACGACCGCAGACTTTGGCTTCACGCGCCTGGGGCGACCAACCTGGTCCTAGTCTTTGCATCCAGTTCGTATCTGCTGTCACAATCTCCCGCATTCACCTCCGACTCCGACTCCGCTGCCGATCCGTCCATCAGAAGAGCACTGTGAGCAGTGCACCTGCGGACAGACCCAAGAGCATCGGAGAGCATTTCCCAGCCCCTGACCCAGGTGCTGGAGAAGGCTGGGTTGTTGGACTCTGGCTCTGGCTCGGGAGCGATGGGCGCCATGAAGCTGGGCCCGAAGTAGATGCCAGTTGCGGAACAGCGACGGACGGGCCGAAGCCCAGTTGCTCACACTTTACCTTCATGTAATCCTTGGTTCCCGACCATTCTGTAGAGTTGCCGTAACAGGAGAAGCATGTATCGAATGTCGCCGACGCCTGTGATCAGCACGGCGACACCGGGAGAAGACATACCGCGCAGAGGTCCCCGCGACAAGCATCCGTGGCGCGTTCAGCCATGCACGCACTGCTCGTATGCAAGATGACATTCCAGTCGTGGCAGGCCAGATCACATCCGTCTCCGACCCAGCCGTTGGGGCGAGACCCACCGCCGGACGTAGAGTTGCCTTCCGGGGCGCTGCACTGCTGCCGCATGTCGCTGACCTGAGCCTCACTTGCGCCGTTGCAGAGCATGCAGGCGTCGAAGTCGGTCGCCTTCCGTCAGTGCACGGCTACGGACGTCACTCACGCCGCATATCTGGCGGTAGCAACGGGGCTTTCCGGGGTCTTCCGAGGCCTTGCACGCCTGATCCGACATCAATATTCTTCGCACATCACCGCACACCGACGCACACGGAATGCCTGTCGAGGCAGCGCTGGGCGCGCTGGACAGGGTGGGCGAGATGCTCTGGCTCGCCGTTGGTGCCGTTGATGAGCCCACCGCAAGCCCACCTCCCGCACTCCCACCACCTGCAGACCCCGCAGCTCCTGCACCAGTGGCGCCACTGGCACCACCCAGCCTTCCGCCGCTGCATGCCTGCTTCGCCGCGTCAATTTGTGTCTGGGTTAGGCCCAAGCACGGAAAACAGGCATCAAACGTCCCTACGACCTTTGATGATCAGCGACTCTTTGCATTCAGTAACTCACAGAGCAGGCTTCCTTCTGACATGCGGGACTGCTGGTGCCGCTCTGGCATGATGCCGAGCCTGCCGCCATCTTGTAGAAGTCGGCGCACTCGGTCATGCAGAGATTGGGGGTGCCCTGCGCGTGGACAAGACCTGATGCATCAGAGGGTATGTGTCAAGGTGAGAGCCTACCAAGAACGGCTTCTGTCAGCGCGACACTGCGAAGGACTCACTCAAAACTAAGAATGCCTTGAACATGACGGGGGTGTAGAATGTTCGGGCGTAAGGTTCGCCCCAGATGCCTTTATGTATGTTTACGCCTACCATGCAAGACATCGAAACGGCGGAAGCGCTGCCATCCTGAGCCGGCGACGTGCCTGCAAGTAGTGCAACGTATGCATGATTGGGAAAGACACTTGCCGCGGCTCAGGCTTATCACCAGGCGCTGCTGGGAGCGAAGTCTTGGCAGGGTAAGTCATCCGAGGTCACAATGCAAGGAGTCCATCAGTTAGTTGGCAGTCACCTGACCCAACTGCGGTGATCGTCTGGAACCTGTCCATGTCTCGCTTCGCGCGGAACAGCGTTATGCCGGCATGCCGGAGCCGGTATGCTTCTGGTGCAGGAGAGTGGTCAGAATTCTAGGAGGATTATCAGGACGGGTATCCATCCCTTGCACTCTCCGTCTACTGCTGCCCTCGCATCTTCCATTGTCGATGGCTGCAGACAAGCAGACAGTTCAGAATCTCTCCCATGCGGGTAAATGAAGGTCAGGTCAGTCTCCCCGGGTCTGTCCAGACGCCCGTCTTCCTCAACGGGCTCGATCGTTTCAAGCGCATGCGTTCGGCGCTGTTCAGTCCGTGGTGGTGCACCATGCCCTTTCCCTTCAAGGCAGTCAGCCCTTGCGTTTTGCACACGCCTCTGCCCTGCTGTTTGCGTCCTTAGAGCACTTAGCCCACCCAGTCCAGAAGCAAAGATGTGTAACGGTCACAATGTCATCACTAAGGCTTGTGGAGACGACGATCCGTGCGCGATTGCACCCCGCCTTATGCAGCTGCTCCATCTAAGCCCCTACCATCCTGCAGTTTCAGGAATGATCATTCCGCAAAGGTTGCAGCAAACACCGCCGCATTCATCACCACGACATGTTCGACAGGCCGCAAGACATCGTCGTGGCACTGAAAGCCCACAGTCTCTACCACTTCCAGCTCGGCCTCAGGATGCAGAGAAGGTCGAGCTCGGCGCCGAGACACAGATCGACGGGTCATCAGGCGACGAGGCGCTCGAGCGGCGTGTGATCCTGCAGAGGTCATATCATGTCTTCCTCTTGAAGCAGGTGACGATAATGGGGTGCGCCCAGTCTAAATTGCGTGGAGAGGGTACGTTCCGCTATCTTCCGTCTGCAGTCCAAAGCTGACAGTCAACAGCCGCTACCACAGACTTGATTGCAGCGTGCGTATCCCGGGTCGAAACATTGCTGCACGAGTGCAACGTGCTCATCGAGGCTGTGCGACAGGCGGACCGCGAGGACAGGAAAGAATGGAAGTGGAAAGGCTCGACGCGCACCACGCACAGGCGAACCAACGGAGACGTGCTCGCTATACAGTCTGAGTGCTATGATGAGATCATTGCATATCTGGAGGATACGCTCAAGACCATGCATGACCAGTACTGGGACGACGAGCTGGAGAAGGCTCATTGCGGGCGACACTACTGGAAGGGCGAACATTTGTAATGAGTTGTTGTATTTCGAATTAGGGAAGTGGTCTGTGCAGCGGTGCGGGAAGTGGCTTAGTGAGACTATGGAGCCTCGCGTTCTTCATTGAAATCCGGCGACCTGCACGCGTTGAAGCCGTGCATACTGAGCGCTGCCCAGACACGATCGGCTCCTGCAGGATGAGGGCCATACAGTCTGTGACCATGGGGTCTGTGAGCATCGGAAGGAATGCAGACCACTGAGCAAGGGTAATGGAGTGGAGAGCTTGACGAAATCACGAAAAATCGAAAACTCGTAGTCTACTCTCCTTCCAGCATGGCATCCTAGAACGCAGTGTGACCACTTGTGGTGCACAGATGCAGTAGGCTCAAGTATCTGCTTGTGACTGAAGAAGCCTGCGTTAGTCGAAGTACGCGTACAGACAGGCGGGAATCTTGCAGTTGCCACTAGCGGTAGAGAGGGTTCTGTTCTTCTGGTAATCGGCCACTAGGCCACTGCTGAGCTTGGAACGTACGGTAGCGAAAGCGGAGTGCATGTCTGTGAGTGGTATTATCAGCACGTCTATTGGCAACTCCTCGTGACCCACCTCCTCTCTGACCTCCGGAGGACAACAATCTGCATTACGCTCTACAAGCCCCACGAAACGCAACACGAAGACACATCACATACTGTACTTTAACATTAGACTACGCCACATCTGCTTTTCGCCGCTCCTGCTATTCTCAGACAAGCAACGCGCCAGCGAGGAGGGTCAGGCCGAGGACAGCGGCCGGAATAAGCTGCACGGCGCCCGCATCGCCGCCAGCGGGCGCGGTCCCGTTCCCCGCCCCGGTGCCATTCCCAGCCCCGGCGCCAGTCCCGTTCCCGGCGGCCGTGGCGTTGCCCCCGGCAGTCATGTTGCCGTCGGTCGCATTCCCGGGGGCAGTGGCGTTGGCGTCGGTCGCGTTGCCGGGCGCAGTGGCGTTACCGGCATCAGTGCCGTTCACGGCCGTGCCGTTGGTCGCGGTGCCGTTTGCGGTGGCGTTGGACGAGAGGTCGGCATCGGGACAGAGCATCTGGAGCGAGCCAGTGCTCGTCGCGCAGGCGACGCACTGGCCCAGATTCTCCATCTGCGGTTAGCTAAGCGGAGGTCATGGAAGCCATGAGTGTGATGGGATGGCTCCCCGATGTGGAGGATGAGGTGGACGGAACACTGCGTGAGTCGGTGTGAGGTCGAGGAATGTGGGGGACATGGGAGCGAGGCGGAGGCGAAGTGAAGCGCAGAACACACTCACACCACAGAGCTCCTCGGCACACTGAGGGTCGATCTTGCCCAGGCAAGTGCTGGTCGAGAGCGAGACGGGGCAGTCGCCGTTTGCGGTGCACCGAGCGATGTCGCCGGCGCCAGGCATGCCGGGCACTTGCTGCTCGCCCTCCTGGCGGATCGCGAGCTGGGCACTGCCGAATGCGGCAAGAGCGGCTGCTGTTAGCTGTAAACCTAGCAACCGAGCAGCGTACTGAGAGCGTAGAGGAGAACCTTGGTCATGTTGGTCGAGACTTTTGGAAGGTGTGGCAAAGAAAGTGATAGTCAGGTCGAGGGAAGAATGATGGAAAGAGGAAGACAGACGAATGTGGTCGAGCTCTTATGTATCCCGCTGTTCCCTCAGGCACTTCTGCAGCGCTCGCTGCCTCCTCGCTCCCACTTGCTCTTGCCCATCATGCGAGTCATTTGACAATGGGGCACACAAGTGCTGCGCAATCGAGAAGCGGGGCGCGTCCTTGCGCAGCAGATTGTGAGATCGAGACCGGCCGCATTCCATGCCACCTGCTCGCCCTGTGAACCAGTGAACCAGTGAACGCCTGATGCGATGCGAAGGATCTGAGATGAGGCTGTCAGAGCTCAATCGTAGTACATCAGGCATCAGTGAGATGTCTGAGAGACAACAGCGGTTGGCAGGCTGGCGGTGTGATGGACCCGGGGTGGTGGTGCGAATAGCGCAAGCTGTCGGCCCACGCTCGGATGAGACGGCGTCCAATGGCTTGGCAGTGAAGATATACACAGGTGGTGTCGCAAAGGTTCTGCGGGGAGTATGACGTTCGCTTGAGACGTGGTCTTGCAGCGTCTGAGTGAGCCTTTAGAACACACACGCAGAGCCTCGCCAAGCTATTCTGGACCTCCGTTAAGTCCAACACGTGAGGCCATACAGCACAGCAGTAGTCTCCTCCGAACCCTCTCGCCTTCCCATGGAAGGCAGTTGCACGCTCTTATGCCTAGTACCATTCCGATCAGTACGATCGGCTGCACAGTTGTCTGTTCGTTCCCTGGTTAATAAGTCGGCCGGGCGGAGCGCTGTCAGCTCGCCTTTCGCGCTCTCGCTGCCCTATGGCTCAGTTGGCTAGCGCGTGGAGCTGTTATCCGTAACATACTCCGAGGTCCACGGTTCGAGCCCGTGTGGGGCAGTTCTTTTGCTTCTGAGAGCTCCGGGAGGCCTGTTTTACGAACTCCGAGGGTTGACGGAGTTGCAGGGTGGTGGTGAAGGGTTCGGTGGGCATGGAGGTGGATGTGGATTCGTCGACGACGAGGCGCAGGGTGGAGTGCAGGGAGTCGGTTTTGGTTCCGCTCCCGACGCTGCCGCCCCAGATCTCGCCTCACCGTTGGGTCTATGCAGAGTCCGCTTCTCGGCGTTGGTGAGCGACATCTTTGCGGACATGCTGAGAGTATGGATGAATGAACGGAGTGCGTAGGGCTCGCCGCGGCTCTGACTGCGGCGTTGAGGCGGTGCACGATAAGATAAAACTGTGAGCATTTGGTCCCGTGCAATCTTATCGTTGCTCGGCACGGCCCTGACAGGACCACCCCGTTTTCGATTTCGGGGGTGCTTCCATGCTTCTTTTGCAACTGCTTCAAACGCCGTTGTGACGTCGGCCGAGGGCTCGGGCTATACTCGGGGAGAAGCACAAGTACGGAATGCGGCACGGCGTGCCGGCGTGCACTAGCGGCGGGAGTGTGGTGGAACGTCTGGAGGGGCGCACGGCGCGCGGTCTGCGGCCTTCTGACAGACGCCGCATCCTGCAGGCGCGGCGCGGCGACCCTGCAACCCTGACGCAGTGTCATCAACAATAGCACTTGGCTTCTCTTCCAGCTGTTGTTGTGTCAGTCGTCTACGGTCGGCACAGTCAGCTCTGCGAGTACCGCAGATGGGGCCGACTAGACTGCGATATGCGTTGCCCGATCCGCAGCGACGGAACATTGGAGCTGCGAGATGAGCGACACCGAGGAGACAACTGGGGCGCTTATCGTGTCCCTGAACGGACTTGTCCGCCGGGTTTCCGCGGGGAGGCCGCCAGTCAGAAGGACGGCGTAGGGACACGAGCCAGCGCACTAGTGCGGAATTGAGCTAGGGACGGACTCAACTGGTTGGCTGGCGCATTGGATGGATTTCAACGGATGCTACATCGGCCCATGACACCCCACATACCCATTTGTCCATGCGCTGGAGCCCGTGGTGCCCGCGGCCATGCGCCGGAGCCAGCGGCGCGGGGGCGCGGGCGTGCGGCGCTCACTGCACCGGCGTGAGTGGAGGTGGAGGCCATGGTCCTGATGGCGTCGCGGCACCGCTTGGACCCTCTCGCGCCAGCCAGCCAGCCGGCCACCTAGCCAGCCCAGCCTGCATCGTGTGCACCATGCATGCATTGCATTGTTGCAACCTCTCATCCACACTCACTCGACTTGCACATTTCCTTCCCTCCAACGACAGCGATCCCGGACAACGGATCCTCGCGACACCACGCACGACGCTCGACTCGCGGAACCTGATCACTGATACCTGATATCCGAAGAGCCGTCCCCCGCAGTCGCTTCTCCTCAAATTTCTAACGGCTGCGACGTCATCTATCTCGACCTACCACTTCCCCACCACCACCGGCACCCGGCTGGGTAGCGACATCAGCTTCCACGCCCGGCGGACTCGCAACGCCTTGGGTATCGGGGACGACGAGGTCAACGACTCCGACTGCACACGACCTACCTGCGATCTCGCCAAGTCTCCCTCCTCACGCACACTCGCACACCGGCCGGTGGTGCGATGACGCCGCCCTGATTGCTCCTGCCCCTGCACCCCGTGCAGACAGTGCCCCCGTCGCCGTGCGCAGTACAAAAACACCGCCGCTGTGTTGTTGTTCTTCCCCTCATCATCTCGCAGCACCAGCTCCCGGCAAGCCCGGCTCCAGCTCGCTGCCCCACAACTTCAGCGTCCTCACACGCCCCCTGTCACTCTCATCGAGACATCTCCCCACCGACCTCTGCCCGCCCGGAGCTAGCCGCACGACGTCATGCTCGCCCTCTTCCTCCTCAGCCTTGGTGAGTACCCACCATCCATCGGAGGTAGGCTGTGTGACCGGCCGCTTCTCGTCGAGATCTGGGCGCTGCCGATCGGATCGTTGTGTCTTGTGGGGTTGCTCCGTTCCGGAGAGCAGCCCAGCACAGTGCAGCTGCCAAGAGCTCGGCACGCCCAAGCCGGTGCCCCTCAGACCTCGTGCTACCTTGCTGACACGCAGTCCTCGCCGTCCGTGCGTTCGACCCTTCGGGTATCCCGCCACAGTGCGAGTCGCCCTGTTCGCGAGCAGACCTTGAGGGCTTCAACGCCTGCTTCGACCTGGTCATGAGCGAGCCCTGCCGCGAGCGTCTCTGCGAGGCGTGGTACATCAACTCGACGATGGCATGTCTGTCCTGCGTGACCGACCACGTGAGCGGCACCGAGCTCGAGAACTTTGCGAGCATCATCGACATCTACAACAGCACGTGCAACAATCGGAGCCTAGTTGTGAGTAGTGTGTGCGGAGCGCAGCGAGGCGGGCAGCAGCTGCCCGCTCAGCCCGGACGGAAGTCCCGCAGCTGGGGGCATTATGCCAGAAGCTGACCCCAGTCCGACGACACCTTCCTGAACGGCACGTACCTGAACGGCTCGACTGTGAACAGGACGATACCCCAGCCCGAGCCGACGCTGCAGCTAGCCCCGCAGCCGGCGAGCGCGGCGCGGCTCGCAGTCTCGGGCTCGCTGCTGCTCCTGACCGCAGGCGCCGCAGTACTACTCTAACTCATCACCTCACCCCTACTTTCTCATCTCATTCTCGCATCCCCCAACATTTCTCGGGTCGCTCTCGCTCGGCTAGACATGTGTCGCCGACGACGTCTCGGCTCCGGATGGCTCGAGTCCACCAAGTCACCGACGCACAGCAAGAGCAAGACCCCAGCAGCATCACAACGCAAGCACCAAAGCATTGATTACAGCATTTTCCATCCCCATTCCCATTAGACTCATTTTCGCATAGCTCGCCCTACGCAAGGGTATGGCAGGACGTGTCACAGTTGACTTTGTATCCCGAGGTATAATGCATGGATTCCGGTTGTCTCCGTACTGGTGAGCGAGGCGCGAAGCGCCGAGCGTCATCTCGCTTCGGTGTACTGCTTCTCGGGTTGCTGCATGCCGCAATGCACTCTCCCGCTCTTGCTGGATGCTCGTGCCGGCCACGCTGGCCAAGCGGCATCAAGTCCGCGTTCCTCCTAAGGCGAGGGCGCAGTGTGACTTTTGTGTGCGACAGTGCGCCCTTCAGACACCGGCACCACCCACCAACACACCAGGCATCGCGCACCATAGCGGTTCTGGGCGTGCCCCAGCGTGTGCGGCGCAAGCAAGCGCAGCGCGCGGCGATTGCTTCGCGAGCACTGCGCCCCACACACGCACCGTACCTTCGTACCTTGCGGGTTCACGCTCGCACGCTCGCACAACCCTCGCTCACCCGCGTCTCTTGCACTGTCGCGCCCGCTGCGCCCGTTGCGCCTTCCTCGCTTTACGTGTCAGTGCGTCAAGCGGGGCGTATGAGGCTGGGTACTGGGCGATGACACGCTGGATGTATTCTTGACTCCGCACATCTCTCAACGTTGCATATCTCTTCACATCCTTCAACGACTTACCTATCCAGCATCTGCACGACACTGGTATCTCAGAACTGAACCTAGCAGTCTACTGTTATGGGTTGATGGGATGGTGATTTCTCGGCGAGGAAAGCTTGAGGGTGGCGAGAGTCTAGCTCCTCCCACCATGTCTTATCCCAGCTGCCGTCCTTGCGCTCTAAGCTGACTCCAGTACGAGTGATTATTCAAGCTTCAGCCACGTCAAGTGGAGAAGAGCGGTCGAGCCGAGGTGAGGAGCAGGCAACCCTTCAAGATCAGACGATGGACTGGCCTCATGATTTCTGTCTCCTTTGACACCAGCTGACCCCAGGCCTTCCTTGTGGCCACACCCCATCGGCCCACAGGTTCCCATGTAAGGATCCGGTCTCCCACTGCATTCGCAACCTGTTCTATCCGCAGCTATCTCTCCCACACGACCAAAGCTGACACCAGGTCCAGACATCTGAACGTCGGCGACCAGAATGCTTCAGTGAGTGCAGCCAGGGAAGCCCAAGTCAACGATGAACGACCAAAATTACCACAGTTCTGAACCAAAACGTGGAGATCCTCGCAGATTCTGAGACTTGTGTCTTTCACCTCTTTGAAGCGTGCCACAGAGCTGACTTCAGCCTGCTGAAACCCGAACCACATCTCATGGCTGTGTCGGCAATGATCGTGAATTCACTGTTCAGGGGCCCCAACACCGCCAGCGGCAGTGGCACAGCGCCTCATGTCTTTCACTAGAGCTGACCTCAGAGCTCGCCACCCAAATGACATCGCTGAAGGATGTTGCTGTGATGTGAGTAGCTGTCTCAGCAAGGGAGGAGCCACGATGACGAGCGAATTGCTTACTAGGTCCTGACCACCACTGGTGTCAGTGGTGGCGTGATCGTTACGTGTGTCTTAGCTGAGACTGCACTCTCCCGTTCCTGCTGTCCGTGGCGTGGATTAGCTGACCTCAGGATGATACTTTCGCGAGTGCTCCCCACGATGGCATCAATGGGGGAGGTGAGCTTCCACGATACGCGGTAAAAGCTCACTGCAGACATCTTGAGTCACAGTGAGCGCAAGTGTCAGCCGGTTGCGTTTGCATCCCCAGCGGTTTGATTTGAGGTGGGTTATGCTGCTACTCCGAGGTTAAAGCTGACTATCAGACGTCCACCAACCGCTGTGGAACTTGTGGCGGTGAGGGGAGAGTACGTGCAGCTGTGAACAAATAGGAGTAGCTGACTCCAGACACATTGTCGTACGTCTGATAAGTATCGAGCGTGACGCCTGGCTCCAGTGGCTATTGGAGGTTCGTACCGATGAACGTGATAGCTATCAAGCCGTTCCTATAGCTTACCAACAGATACTTGAACGCCCACGATAGTTGTTATCACATCTGAGCTGCTGTGGTACCTATCAAGACACAGTGGAAGAGGGGGGTACCAGCTTTGGGAACCCCTTAGCTGACATGCAGACAAGTAGTAGTACGAAGAAGCTTCGCAACCGAACTCCTCGGCTAACTCTCATACACGGACTGCACACAGCAAAGGTACGTCTCAGCCCAGCTAATCCAGAGCCCGTGCTAACTCGCAGGCCTCTAACAACTCGCCAAGTGCGGTTCTCCTTGAGGCGATGGTAGCTGCAGTAGCTCCGCACTTGCCCGACTGGTCTTCGAACGGGTGAGGCTCAGCTTACCATATCACTCGATGAGCTGACCGGCAGAACCACTTTCGGCGCTTCGGCAAGACTCTGAGTGGTGCCAATGCTTCGCCAGGGGTGAACTGAGGGCTTCCATCTCCTGAGCTAAACAGCACAGAGCATGGCCACTCGCATGTTGAGGCAAGCTTCAAACGCCGTCTGGCATCGAAAGCCTGTGTGTTCGAAGCTATCAGCCCACTTGTTTTCAGCTAATGCCAGATCGTGAGCAAGCTTGGATACAGCCACGAGCTGACTCGCAGATGTGAACGGTGGGTGTCACCATTCGGCCGCCTCTGTTTCTTTCGACTTTCACAGCTGACTGCAGACTCCAGTTCTACTTCTTCACTACGCGGGCCACGGAGGCAGTGAGGGTAAGTCTGAGCTCTGACGATCTTGACTCGAGAGCTGACCACCAGTTTGTTGCGAGCAGCCACATTGCGCCTATCTCTCATGTCTCGCGGTGAGTGTTATTCCCCACTCGACGCCATGAAGAACCTATTGTCACAGGATCCAATTCACCGCTGTCCGAACGTTACAAAGATCTGAGCGCTCCATTTTTCAGCTAGCACTGCCGCGTAGTTCTTGTAAGCTGACAGAGCAGCCCGCCCACCTGATCGAATTGGCTAGGCAAGGTGGGTAGGCCAAGGTAGTTGCGAGCAGTGCGACACAGCTGACAGTCAGAGTGAGAGATGTGAGACTGCTACTACCGGTGCAACGCGAAGGTGACAAGCAGTAGCGGCCTGACACAGAGACAACACTACTTTACTGTTGTTGCCCTGCAACTAGTTCGGTGGTGAGCAGAGCTGATCTCAGTCGCCTGCGTGAGTTTCTCCGTCCCTCCTGGCTGTAGGAGAATGACATGAGCTGACACGACAGCACAGTGTTTACCTTAACGGAAGCCAAGGAACACGATGAGTTGAATGATCCACTCCAAACTGACCAACAGTCAAATCTACCCGCCGCTTCTCCTGCAGAATTAGTGAGTGCCGTCTCCTCATCGTACCACACATGATGAAAGCACGACGTCATCGGTACCGCAACGTGACCGCTTTACGATTAGTCTATCTGAGTTCTTAACCAGCTATCTGACGTGCACTTAGAGCTAACAGTTCAGTGACGGCTGGAGGCTTGATGTCGACAGCCGCAGGTGCAACCGACGCTTCCGAACACCCGCGGTCGCGGAATGAAAGCTGACTCGCAAGTTCTCAGTTATAGCCGTCCCGGAACACAATTCACAAAGATTGTGAGTAGTGCTCCGATCCACGAGTTAGGAAGAGAAGCAGGAATGGTAAACCCAGTGACCGCCTCTAAAGTTTGTCTGATGACCCATAGCTCGATTCGGTTGTGGACGAGCTGACATTTCTTCAGTCGACCGATTCAGCGGCCATGAGCGAACGACGTGAGTCCTTGGCACCCTCTCGCTCCAACTATGATGAGTCTAATTCATTGGTACTCTACGGATGACCATTTAGCCTATTTTTCTGATCACTCTCCAACCAGCTACCCTGTCGGTCGGTTGTCTAGCTAACTCGCCAGGAAAATGGTCTTCAATCAGCCAGGCCACACGGTGAGTAACCCTTCCAACCCTGATCACCAGTGATGAGGGATATTATTCCATTCGGATCTCACACATGACCTCAGTCCTATTCTTCTGATATCTCCAAGCTTCTCTGATTGGCCAACGTAGCTAACACAGCAGGTCTGGCTGCGCATCTGGGAGCATTGGAGGTAACGTAGGGGTGAACAGTGAGTACCCCCCAGTCCTACCCTGAGACCAGATGACGAAAACGCACGTCAAGTGAATCTCGCGCGTGAACTCAAGTCCCTACACTGAATGCATCCCCGGGTCACGGCTTCAACAGCTGTTCAGCAAGCTGACGGGAACTTCAAGACAGACTGTCTTGCGAAGGTAGACAACCGGTAGCCGGTATCCTCCTGCCACCTCCAACCTGCTGTCCGAAATGAGGTTTGACCGTGAGTATCCATTCCCAATCCGCTTCGCATGATGTTCGAGGTAGTGTGGTACATAACAACGTGACCAAAGCATTTTCTTAAGGTTCTGATTCTCTCAAGCTTCCAATCACCGAAGAAAGCTGACATCTTCTCGCAGCTGGACTCAGCGCGGATCGCCTGCAAGGTGGCACCTTCGTCGAGCTTTCGATTTCGCAGAATGTGAGCTAGGCTGTCATCCGTAGCCCAGCTAACACATCAGTACCAATACATCAGCACACGCTCAGGTGAGTTCAAAGCAAGTGAGTGCTCGTTCTCCAGCGAATCATGCATGATGAGCCAACCACATCCTGGGTCGAGTTTCATGACCGCCGTGCCACACTTTCCTGATCCCCTCATCCAAGCTCGGAGACCTATGACCGGATTAGCTGACATGGAGACCGCTCTGGTTGAGTGTTACTGGACACCAGGGCAGCTCATGAAGCTCCCAGCAAAAGCCATCGAACCGGGAAGTGCCTCGTGTCCCAATCGCTGCCATCGACAGGTTTGGTCTTTTGTGAGCCCCGCTAAGCTGCCTGAAGCCTCCGCATAGCTGACGACAGATCTTGTGAGTAGTTACCGGTGTTTAGTATATTGCCGCATGAATCGAGTTACGAGCAGCCAACAGCATGCGATGCATACTGACTTATCTCTCTAACACTACCGGACCGATTACCTTCTCAATCTCTCTCGCCTATTGCGATACATCGCGACAGCCCCAGTGGTCCCGCTATCAGTGGACCCTTAGACCAGCGCGTAGACAGCAGCAACGACGGCAGCCGCCTCCCATCCAGCACCGAAGTGCACGGCAGAGCTACCATCCTTACCGGCTCCGTTACCGCCACCGGTGCCAGTTCCGTTGTTGTGAGCGCTGACAGAGCTGGAGGCAACCTTGCTCTCACTGGCACTGTGGAGCTTGGATACGCTGCTGGAGGGAGGCGAGGTGATGCCAGCCGAGGCGGAACGGGAGGCTGAGGCGGAGGGAGCGGCAGTGACGCCGCCGACGGCGGGGGTGACAGCAGTGGGCGAGGCGGAGGCGCCAGTGTCGGAGGCGCCGGCTGCGGTGTCCGAAACATCGGCGCCGGCGGTGTCGGAGACGTCGGCAGTGTCAGAGACCTCAGGCGTCTCCTCGCCAGCCTCGGCGCCAAGGGTCGCGGAGGCTTCGGCACCGGGGTCGACAGAGGCGGAACCAATGTCGACGTCCTCGGCGCCATCAGTGCCGTCGTCGCCGGTGGAAGGGTCGACGGCACCAGTGGGCTCGGCGACCTGGGGTTAGCTTGTTAGCAGCTGGCAAGCTTACGTCGGACTGAGCGATGACGCTGGCGATGAGGGCGGTGAAGACTGGGGTCAGCTCAAGGCGACAGCAGTTGCAGCTTACGGAGAATCTTGTGCATGTTGCGAGTGAAGGGTGTTGAGTAGTAGGAGAGCGTTGGGTAGGAGTGAGTGATGGGGGAAGAGCTGAAGAGACGGCACAGCGCATTCCTTTTGTACGCTGACCCACCCAGATCTGTCCCGGACTCGAGTCCAGGAGTCCAGGAGACTTGAGCTACTGCCGTTTTGCACTGCACTCTGCCAGCACGCCAGTACGCTCTGCACGCGTTGAGGTGCTGCGCAGCTGGCGCAGCGCCAAGCAGATCTGCAGGGTTTGCAACGCCTGGCGGATGGCCAGAATAGAAGCAGGCCAGGCCAGCCAGGCCTGGAGCGGCCGGAGCGGGCGGTGCCGATTCACGGGATGGAAGGGTGGTCTGTGCGCCACAACGCTGGGGCCTCGGTCTGTCGTGATCAGCGCTACTGCGCAGTCACCAATCGCGCGACTTGCACTGCCGCGGGATCCAACGTGCTTACTCTTATGCTAACGACCTCCTCATAGAGCTCTCTTGCAAGATACTCCAGCCATGGTGCGCATCAAGTCCCGATCACATGAAAGAACTGCATACTGAATCATCGTTATAAACGCTACTGAACCGACAAACCTCCAAAGATTAAAGCTTCATTTTAAGGACTCCTCCATTGTTGTTCGGCCCGCGGTCCGAGCTCCGACGTAATCGGAATCTTGTTGTCAAGCGCGGGGGGACTTAGACGAGAGCGTAGACGGCCGCGATGACAGCAGCAGCCTCCCAGCCGGCACCGATGTGAACGGCGTAGCTGCCATCCTTGCCCGCGGTGGCGGTACCGTTCTTCTTGTCGGAGGCGGAGGCAGAGGCCGAGGCGCCGGCGGAGGACTTGCCGCTCGAACCAGAGGCGGAGCCGGAGGAACCGCCCGAGGCGGAGCCGGTCGCCGAAGCGCTCGAGCCGGAGCGAGAGGCGGAGCCAGAGGCTGACAGTCAG